TAAATTATTGAGATATGGGCGATTTTATGATGCACGAATTTTTATTTAAGTTTGTGTAAGGGATTTACGGAAAGAGTATCTCTTGCATATTTATACATAATCATATATAGTATAATTATATATAATTATATATAATTATATATAAATATATAAGTGATATATAAAATATACAAGAGATACATACAAATATACAAGGGGTATATAAAAATACAATATTTAAAAATTTATATTTTAGATTATTTTAAATTTTAAAATTATTAAATAACTAACTTTGAAACCTCAGAATAGTTAATTAATATATTCTAAGATGAGGATATATTTAAACCAATAAATATCATTTCTCTAATCAAACTTTCAAATATATATTACTTTTTAGTGAATTATTATTTTATTTTGATTACAATGATAATTTAGTAATTAATTAAGTGATCAAGCTATCTTTTATCAATTTAATTGATAATTTTTTAGTAAAATAAAGAATTATTATAATATAATACAACATGGTTCTATATATAAATTATATAAACAGAAATGTAGAGATTTTTTAAAGAAATGTGATGTTTGTCTAAAGAAAACTTTTTTCTTACTAAGCAAATTATATTTGAGCTTCTAACAAAAGTTGTAGAGCTTAGTATAATATGATATGGTTTATATATAAAAATTAAGATTTTTGAAATATGAGCTGCTTCTATTTAAAACTTTTTTGTACTAAGTTAATTACCTTTGGGCCTCTAATTGAAGTTATAAAGCTTATCAAGATGAATCTAATAGTGGTTGAATCATCAAAATCAGCCTTGTGAATCACAAGATATCTTCAAAAATGTTTTACTAATTAATAATATTATTGAAAAAGAAATTTATATAGTCAGCAAAATGTTTTTTGAAGATATCTCATGATCATCCACAAGACCAATTTTGACAATTTAACTACTATTAGATTCATCTCAATGAACTCTATAATTTTAATTAGAGACCCAAAGATGATTAACTTAGTATAAAAAAAAGTTTTAGATAGAAGCAGCTCATATTCCAAAAATTCTAATTTCTATATATAAACTGCATCACATTATATTATGAGCTCTTTCTGGTTGAGTGACGAATCACCAATTTTTATAATTATAAATAACTAACTCTGAGACTCTTGAAAATGGTCAATTGACAACCCCAGAGAATTATATTTACATAATAAGTGGAAGCTCCCTTAGAAGTAGAGCATGCAATAGTATTGTCTTTTTTTTAGAACAAGTAATGAAAAAAATAACTTTGGTTTGACAAATTTTTTCTTTTACAAACTATATGTTCTGTCATGATTTTTACATATCCAACCTAATTTGCATTTGTGTTTTGTACTATTTTACTATATACTCCTACATATAAAGTATAGTAATTAAAGAATAATAATAAGTAAATGCTTCTATAACAAACATATTACAGCTAATGGTGGACATTAAATTTTGAAGTTTTATGTATATATTCTCTATCTAAATATAGGTCAAAAAATTTTTGACAAAGATTTATATATAAAAAATGGTTTTACAATAAAAAAAAAGAAAAAACCAAAACAAAACTTTCTGCCATTACTTTTGTGGAGATTATATAGAGAAGCGACTATAGAGGAATATTAAAGATGGGCAAATCGAAAATTTTACTAAAAATGCGGGCCAGAATTGTTAAATCCCGAAATATTCTGAACTTCCAAAATGTTCCACCAGCGCAAGTGGCCCATCTCTAAATACGATAAAACTGGGTGAAACCCGCGTTGTAAATTAGTAAAATCCCTACGCAGATCACGTTAGGGTGAAGTCCGCGTTTGGGGATCGTCTAAAGTAAGGTAGTAATTTATATGCCTCACGTGATTTTTACTTTACAAATTTATTATTAATCACTTAAAAACTACCTGGCTTTCGATGATCCTCGCGTTTAGCTATGTTTTTTATTATGCAAAAGCGAATTTCACCCTCATGTGATCGACGTAGCGGATTTTACTAATCACAGTGCGGGTTTCACCCTGTCGTAATATGATAGTTTATTTGCTTGCTCGATACGCACAAGGCCAGTATTTTTTGCGCAAAATACCACAAAATGAATTTCTTAATGATTCAAATCTTCAAAATACCAATTTTAGTGTACTTAGAAATGCAATAGAAACTGTTAGGCATAGGATTTAAATACTGCACAGCGCGGACTATAGTACCCGGAATACGATACATTCAACAGCAAAATCCAAGTTAGTACCCGGGTATTATATAAGCGTATTTTACATAGAAATGATATATGCTACATAGTTAATACCCGGGTATTTCACTCTGTAAAGTACCCGGTATCTTGTATTCAACTGCGAAAAATTTTTATAGAGGGTACTTTGACGTGGGGGGTATTGTGTACGGTAGTTATAACATAAGCCGGAATAATTTCTACCGCATTTCTACATTAGTGTATCCAATTTTTTTCTGCTAAGCTGATAAAACTTGTTCCCATTTTGATAGCAATGACCAACCATATCGATATACAGTACGTATAATCTATTATTGCGACTTGGGAGAGCTTTTATATTGCCAGACCGCTTTTAGCACAGTGCCACAAGCATAAATTAGTTGATAGTCGTACAAGCTAAGGTGTGAACGCTAACAATAGGATACGCGTCGTAACGGTGATTATCACGTGTTACTTATTATCGTTAGGCAATAATTTCGAGATCGAAGCCAAAGGGTCACTTATTATTAGCAAGCCAAAGTGGGAAGATGGGAAAGAGTTCTTGTTTATTTACTAAATATGCGCTATATTTATACATTTTGATGTTCAAGGGTTTCAAACTCGGATCTGGGGTTTCAAACCCAGATCTGGGTTTCAGACCCAAATCCAGGTTCCGAACCCTGACCTCAGGTTTCAAACCCGTTCACGTGCTATTTCTATTAACAACATCGTATTTGCTTTTACACATAGGGAAAATAAAGAAAATACATAACGAAGATTCATGCAAAAAAAATTTTGTCAAAAATTTTCGTAACACTATCGGCATTACCCATATCTGCAGATTTGCGATAATAAATGAATGCTTTAAGTTTATCCTTTCCACTTCGGTAACAATAACAGACTTTAAAAGCATTCCTTTGGAATCACCCATCTTTGATAATAATCGAATGCCTTACATTCATTCAATTCCATTTCATAGCAATAACCGACTTAAGTGTTTTTTTAGAGTCACCTTTCTCTGCATACACTCGATAATACAGTAATAACTGAATGCCTTACGTTTATCATTTCAACTCTAATTTCATTTTGATAACAATGTCCTACCTAAAGATGCTGATGAAATTAGAATGGTGTAATAATTTCACCACTATTGGTAAAATTGATGTTGAATTGGTGAAATTTAGTGAAATTAATTTCACTAGCGTCTCTAAACCCTACAATATAGAATTCATAAGCATTATATGCATATTGGCAGATTCTTGATAATAAATAAGTGCTTTATATTCATCTTTTAACCCAATTCATTGATATGAGTAACCAGTATCATTTATCATCAGAATCTTCTAGACCAGCAGATACCTGATCAAATGAGTGTCGCCAAATGAAAACCCGTATATCTAAATATAGTTCACTTATGAATTTCATAAGTGACCTATTTTTAAATTTACGGGTTTTCATTTGGCTACACTCAAATAAAAAATGATACATAAATATTATCATTGCTAGTATTCATTTAACAATATATGCATAAAAATAAATTAAATAGTTTTTATCCATGTGATTCTGTTTTTTGTTTTTTTTTGAAATATTAAAAAGGAAATCTTAGAGTTTATATTACACGATCATTGATTCGCGTAATAAACTTTGAATTCTAACGGTGATTATAGAGCGTGCCAATCTGTTGAGTATTAGTAGAAACTTTGTTTCCGCCTGTACAAATTGTCATATTCAATGTAAATCGTGGCTAATCAAGCCAGAGCCATTCGCATAGTTTCTTTGCTGCATTAGAAGAATTAATATACAATTAACAGATTACATGATAATGAAAGAAAGGTAGAGAGATGTAAAATGTTTTTTATTTCTCATGCTACAAAACAACAGGGGCAAATCGACCCTATAAAAAAAGTCGATCCGTGTTTTATATTCCGTGTTTTGTCAATAAATGTTGCATATTCACGGAATTTATAACGTTAAATCATGGAGATTATTCGGCTTGTCTAGATTTTGTCGATCATGTTGCAGATTCACGGAATTTTCATAAAAAATACGGAGAAATAACGAAAATATTCGGGAAAAATTTTTTATAGGGCGAACGGAAAACATAAATAATAAATATAATAAATCTCCATCTCACACTAACTAAATTATTTTTTCTTGGATATATCTCTATTCAAGTCGCATCTAACAACTCCTTCAGCAAAGGGTGATCCCAAAAACATCACTTTCCTATTCTTATCACCGGCCGCCACAGAAGCCGCATGAAACAAAGTACCATCATCCTCAAATATTTTCTCTTTTACGTATTTAATCCCATTAAACTTGTCTTCTTCAGTGTTGTTACTAATTTTAATAACACCGAATGAAGGTTTTTTTGATTTGTCCAAACCACTCAAATATGTTCCCATTTCTACGAGACTATGTGCCACTATTGTATAAAGTTCATGGTATTTCAAAAAAGATGCCAATCTAAAAGACAATCAACTTTACATTCACATACCTGCAAGATAAATTTCACCTGTCACCGGATCCACATTAACGTTATCAATAGAATGTTCAACATTAATAGCATCCAACAGCATCAATTTATTATCAGGTTTTCTTTCATATATTAAAAGTTCTCCCGTACCAGTAGTCCCAATAAAAACGTGTGAATAATCCCAATTTACATTAATCCCATTTGCAAAAATTAATCCATTAACAACTATTTCTGTAGTATTGGTTTTTGAGGAGTGAAAGACAAATCAAAAAAACCTTCATTCGGTGTTATTAAAATTAGTAACAACACTGAAGAAGACAAGTTTAATGGGATTAAATACGTAAAAGAGAAAATATTTGAGGATGATGGTACTTTGTTTCATGCGGCTTCTGTGGCGGCCGGTGATAAGAATAGGAAAGTGATGTTTTTGGGATCACCCTTTGCTGAAGGAGTTGTTAGATGCGACTTGAATAGAGATATATCCAAGAAAAAATAATTTAGTTAGTGTGAGATGGAGATTTATTATATTTATTATTTATGTTTTCCGTTCGCCCTATAAAAAATTTTTCCCGAATATTTTCGTTATTTCTCCGTATTTTTTATGAAAATTCCGTGAATCTGCAACATGATCGACAAAATCTAGACAAGCCGAATAATCTCCATGATTTAACGTTATAAATTCCGTGAATATGCAACATTTATTGACAAAACACGGAATATAAAACACGGATCGACTTTTTTTATAGGGTCGATTTGCCCCTGTTGTTTTGTAGCATGAGAAATAAAAAACATTTTACATCTCTCTACCTTTCTTTCATTATCATGTAATCTGTTAATTGTATATTAATTCTTCTAATGCAGCAAAGAAACTATGCGAATGGCTCTGGCTTGATTAGCCACGATTTACATTGAATATGACAATTTGTACAGGCGGAAACAAAGTTTCTACTAATACTCAACAGATTGGCACGCTCTATAATCACCGTTAGAATTCAAAGTTTATTACGCGAATCAATGATCGTGTAATATAAACTCTAAGATTTCCTTTTTAATATTTCAAAAAAAAACAAAAAACAGAATCACATGGATAAAAACTATTTAATTTATTTTTATGCATATATTGTTAAATGAATACTAGCAATGATAATATTTATGTATCATTTTTTATTTGAGTGTAGCCAAATGAAAACCCGTAAATTTAAAAATAGGTCACTTATGAAATTCATAAGTGAACTATATTTAGATATACGGGTTTTCATTTGGCGACACTCATTTGATCAGGTATCTGCTGGTCTAGAAGATTCTGATGATAAATGATACTGGTTACTCATATCAATGAATTGGGTTAAAAGATGAATATAAAGCACTTATTTATTATCAAGAATCTGCCAATATGCATATAATGCTTATGAATTCTATATTGTAGGGTTTAGAGACGCTAGTGAAATTAATTTCACTAAATTTCACCAATTCAACATCAATTTTACCAATAGTGGTGAAATTATTACACCATTCTAATTTCATCAGCATCTTTAGGTAGGACATTGTTATCAAAATGAAATTAGAGTTGAAATGATAAACGTAAGGCATTCAGTTATTACTGTATTATCGAGTGTATGCAGAGAAAGGTGACTCTAAAAAAACACTTAAGTCGGTTATTGCTATGAAATGGAATTGAATGAATGTAAGGCATTCGATTATTATCAAAGATGGGTGATTCCAAAGGAATGCTTTTAAAGTCTGTTATTGTTACCGAAGTGGAAAGGATAAACTTAAAGCATTCATTTATTATCGCAAATCTGCAGATATGGGTAATGCCGATAGTGTTACGAAAATTTTTGACAAAATTTTTTTTGCATGAATCTTCGTTATGTATTTTCTTTATTTTCCCTATGTGTAAAAGCAAATACGATGTTGTTAATAGAAATAGCACGTGAACGGGTTTGAAACCTGAGGTCAGGGTTCGGAACCTGGATTTGGGTCTGAAACCCAGATCTGGGTTTGAAACCCCAGATCCGAGTTTGAAACCCTTGAACATCAAAATGTATAAATATAGCGCATATTTAGTAAATAAACAAGAACTCTTTCCCATCTTCCCACTTTGGCTTGCTAATAATAAGTGACCCTTTGGCTTCGATCTCGAAATTATTGCCTAACGATAATAAGTAACACGTGATAATCACCGTTACGACGCGTATCCTATTGTTAGCGTTCACACCTTAGCTTGTACGACTATCAACTAATTTATGCTTGTGGCACTGTGCTAAAAGCGGTCTGGCAATATAAAAGCTCTCCCAAGTCGCAATAATAGATTATACGTACTGTATATCGATATGGTTGGTCATTGCTATCAAAATGGGAACAAGTTTTATCAGCTTAGCAGAAAAAAATTGGATACACTAATGTAGAAATGCGGTAGAAATTATTCCGGCTTATGTTATAACTACCGTACACAATACCCCCCACGTCAAAGTACCCTCTATAAAAATTTTTCGCAGTTGAATACAAGATACCGGGTACTTTACAGAGTGAAATACCCGGGTATTAACTATGTAGCATATATCATTTCTATGTAAAATACGCTTATATAATACCCGGGTACTAACTTGGATTTTGCTGTTGAATGTATCGTATTCCGGGTACTATAGTCCGCGCTGTGCAGTATTTAAATCCTATGCCTAACAGTTTCTATTGCATTTCTAAGTACACTAAAATTGGTATTTTGAAGATTTGAATCATTAAGAAATTCATTTTGTGGTATTTTGCGCAAAAAATACTGGCCTTGTGCGTATCGAGCAAGCAAATAAACTATCATATTACGACAGGGTGAAACCCGCACTGTGATTAGTAAAATCCGCTACGTCGATCACATGAGGGTGAAATTCGCTTTTGCATAATAAAAAACATAGCTAAACGCGAGGATCATCGAAAGCCAGGTAGTTTTTAAGTGATTAATAATAAATTTGTAAAGTAAAAATCACGTGAGGCATATAAATTACTACCTTACTTTAGACGATCCCCAAACGCGGACTTCACCCTAACGTGATCTGCGTAGGGATTTTACTAATTTACAACGCGGGTTTCACCCAGTTTTATCGTATTTAGAGATGGGCCACTTGCGCTGGTGGAACATTTTGGAAGTTCAGAATATTTCGGGATTTAACAATTCTGGCCCGCATTTTTAGTAAAATTTTCGATTTGCCCATCTTTAATATTCCTCTATAGTCGCTTCTCTATATAATCTCCACAAAAGTAATGGCAGAAAGTTTTGTTTTGGTTTTTTCTTTTTTTTTATTGTAAAACCATTTTTTATATATAAATCTTTGTCAAAAATTTTTTGACCTATATTTAGATAGAGAATATATACATAAAACTTCAAAATTTAATGTCCACCATTAGCTGTAATATGTTTGTTATAGAAGCATTTACTTATTATTATTCTTTAATTACTATACTTTATATGTAGGAGTATATAGTAAAATAGTACAAAACACAAATGCAAATTAGGTTGGATATGTAAAAATCATGACAGAACATATAGTTTGTAAAAGAAAAAATTTGTCAAACCAAAGTTATTTTTTTCATTACTTGTTCTAAAAAAAAGACAATACTATTGCATGCTCTACTTCTAAGGGAGCTTCCACTTATTATGTAAATATAATTCTCTGGGGTTGTCAATTGACCATTTTCAAGAGTCTCAGAGTTAGTTATTTATAATTATAAAAATTGGTGATTCGTCACTCAACCAGAAAGAGCTCATAATATAATGTGATGCAGTTTATATATAGAAATTAGAATTTTTGGAATATGAGCTGCTTCTATCTAAAACTTTTTTTTATACTAAGTTAATCATCTTTGGGTCTCTAATTAAAATTATAGAGTTCATTGAGATGAATCTAATAGTAGTTAAATTGTCAAAATTGGTCTTGTGGATGATCATGAGATATCTTCAAAAAACATTTTGCTGACTATATAAATTTCTTTTTCAATAATATTATTAATTAGTAAAACATTTTTGAAGATATCTTGTGATTCACAAGGCTGATTTTGATGATTCAACCACTATTAGATTCATCTTGATAAGCTTTATAACTTCAATTAGAGGCCCAAAGGTAATTAACTTAGTACAAAAAAGTTTTAAATAGAAGCAGCTCATATTTCAAAAATCTTAATTTTTATATATAAACCATATCATATTATACTAAGCTCTACAACTTTTGTTAGAAGCTCAAATATAATTTGCTTAGTAAGAAAAAAGTTTTCTTTAGACAAACATCACATTTCTTTAAAAAATCTCTACATTTCTGTTTATATAATTTATATATAGAACCATGTTGTATTATATTATAATAATTCTTTATTTTACTAAAAAATTATCAATTAAATTGATAAAAGATAGCTTGATCACTTAATTAATTACTAAATTATCATTGTAATCAAAATAAAATAATAATTCACTAAAAAGTAATATATATTTGAAAGTTTGATTAGAGAAATGATATTTATTGGTTTAAATATATCCTCATCTTAGAATATATTAATTAACTATTCTGAGGTTTCAAAGTTAGTTATTTAATAATTTTAAAATTTAAAATAATCTAAAATATAAATTTTTAAATATTGTATTTTTATATACCCCTTGTATATTTGTATGTATCTCTTGTATATTTTATATATCACTTATATATTTATATATAATTATATATAATTATATATAATTATACTATATATGATTATGTATAAATATGCAAGAGATACTCTTTCCGTAAATCCCTTACACAAACTTAAATAAAAATTCGTGCATCATAAAATCGCCCATATCTCAATAATTTA